GTTGGGCGCTGTGGTAGAAAAACATGGTGCCACAACACTGGTACGAGTGTTGCAGCAGTGATAATGAATAAACAAAATTATAAATTGGATATAAATACAGAATAATCTCTTGAACAATTGTGCAATCTACGGCCCCATAATCACGCCCTTCAAAATGAGATGTACTGTATTGCTAACATTTTTTCTTCAAAATACCCTGACATTAAAAGGTGATATTTCAAAAAATAGGTATACCCCCCAAAAAAAGTTTCAATACGTTTTCTTACCAGTAACATACATTTGGATATATGGAGAAGTTAATTGCTAAAATGTCAATGCATTCAAGACAATGAATCAAACTTTGTTAGTCATGACCTCTCAAGAGTTGTTCAGAATCTTGTAAGGTTGCAGGAGTACCATGAGCATGAGTGTCTTGCTATTGCTTATGGTGACCACAGCCTGTACAGTGGAATGTTTACAATATCACTAACCAAATACTAACTTTTTTATAACCTTTTATAATATCTCAATGGATTTACTTGATTGTCAGTTTTCATTTGGAATTCCATTTGGAAGTGTAAATGAGTTCATTCATCATTGACATTTGATTTTCTGGTTAGCTAGGTCATCACACATAGATGTAGTTGTTCTTGGCTCTTCGCAGAGCATCAGAAAGCACCCCTGTAGGGCACTAATAAAATAGGGAGGGCTAGACACATGAGATCAGTATGAAAGTGTTTAATCATTGCATGCATCTGCAAGCATCAGCAATATAAAGGGATGGTTTCATTAAATGAAGAGACTGTGATTTTTCTCTTTCAAGATGAAAACTTCTCTGAATGAAAACTTTTCAAGTTGTGTTTTACAAATCGATATCCTTTACAAACTATGACTCTTGGGTATTAATGTGAGTGTAAAGCGAGAGACACTTTATTAAAAAAACTAATGCTCTGGGTAATAAAATTCATTTCTTTGTTTCTATTTTGATATTCCAGGACAAGATTAATAATGCAGCTATCATATGGACAAGGCTTTTATTTAAAAGTTATTTTAAAGTTATTCACTCACCATTGTCAGAGTGCAGTTTTTGAAGCAGCAAAGAAAAATACATTTTTGCTTGTGTGTTTGTTTTAAAGGGATAATTCTTAGATCCTCCACATGGCTTGGTCTGCCAGACTTTGTTTCCAGAATGTCAGTTGTCAATACCACTGAAGTCTGGCCAGCTGCTTTCTGTGTGGGAAGTGCGGTACGTAAAAGCTAATTTTGTCTTCATGCAGGGAATCCACGACATTGGTTTTTCTGGAGATACTTCTTTTTTCAACCAGCTGCAGATTTAATGGCATA